ATCGATCACTGCAACCTCACAGAGTCACCAAGCCCGGGCGAGCTTCAGTGCCCTCTTGTTGAAGCGGGTCTGGTCGGAGTAGGGTCAGCTCACCAGGGACTCAGCCCAGTGAGGGTTCCGTCAGAAGGCAGAGAGAGCTCGGGGACCATTCCGAAGGAATGCATTATGATTCCGATGTGCAAATGCAGAGCTGCAGTGGGGATAGAGCCTGCTTCTCCCTTCATCTTTGTGGACTCCTCCCACTACCAACGAGCTCCATTTCCATCCCTACCAGCCACCACTAGCTGCCCCACCACCTATGTCTCACCCCCACCCAACCCACCTGCCCCAGAGGGAGCCATGGCCACAGTCTGTGTGGCCCCCATTCAAGTGTGCTGTTAAGGCCGGCGGAATGCCGGTAAGCCCTCGGTATGCACCTCACCCTGGAAACGGCAGCAATGAACAGCAGGCTTGTGCCTACCCTACAGCCCACTACCACCCAGACAGCTCCGCAAGCAGTCAAGATGTGACCCCCGCTCCCTTGCAGCTGCAGAGAGCTTCCAGAAGACACACATCACTCCCATGGGAGTCCACTGCCCCAGCCTATGGACAGTCCCACGCGGGTCTCCAGACCCTGCCCTAATGGGGACTGTAGGGCACATCAAGCCACCCAGCTCAGGACAACCAGTAACTTTTGCGTGCAAAGCAGGCACGCACTGCAAATGGCACACTTACATCTTAAATGTCTCCAAATGGCAAGAAGGTCATTCTTCCCATTGTCCTGTAGGGCTTGTGCTCATTAAGCAGAGTAAAACCTCGTTAATTTTGACTGCTCATTGGCACTGGCGGCAATCTGACTGAGTTTATGCCAACACTACCAAGAAAGGGGTTACCATGTCAATCTGCCTGGGCAGATTCCTTGGTGACCAATATCATGACGGAGAAGGAAGGCCCTGTTTGATGCCCATGTCCCTGCAGAGAAGCCACAGGAAGAGAGCAGCACCTGCCTGCGCTAGTGTCATCCTTGGGCTTGAGGAGGAGGAGGAGGAGGATGGTGGAAGCTGAAAGATGTGCCCGGGAAGCCAGCAGAGAGGATGGAAACCCTGGAGCAGGGAGTTACTCAGCCTCACCTCCAGTTTGGGGCTGGTGGGACTAGGCATTGAGGTTGAAGTCAGGAGGTCGAGATGGGAGGCGATCCCTCTACAGAAATGCTGGTGGTTGAGTCAGTTCCACCTATGGCAACCCCATGTATGTCAGAGTAGCTGTGTGAACACTATGGTTTTCAATGGCTCACCTTTCAGAAGTAGGTCACCAGGTCTTTCTTCTGAGGCAACTGGGGGCGGGGGGGCTTGAACCTCCAACCTTTCAAATAGCAACTGAGCCTGTGAACTGTTGGTCCCGTCAGGAACTCCACCTTGCCCAAGCTCGAGGCCTCAGAGAGAGCCGCTTGATGGGGAAGGGTCCTGGCTTCATCTGGGGTGTCAGCAGAGTGCTTCCCTGAGAAAGTACGCCTTTTGCTGGCACCTCAAGGACAAGTCGGGTACAGCTCAGCGGAGTTTCCTCCGGGAATTGCTGAAGGGGCCATGGCGAAGGGTTGGGTGTGTTGGAGGAAATGAAAAAGAAGGTGGCTACAGAGAATGAGAGGTAGACCAGGCAGGGCTGCTGGGGGTAGACGGGGAGGAGTGGTTAACCCAAGCGAAGACGCCCTGGAGGGCTGTGAGCAAGGGGCTGACAAGAAGCCAGACTGCATTCTTGAAAGAGGCCCTGGGCCCTGGGGTGGGGTGGGGTTTGGAGAGGGCAGGGGTAGATGCAGAAGCCCAGGCTCATGTCCCTCCAAAAGCGACAAGCCTCCGGGCTTTGCCATCAGGCAGTGAGGTTTTTCCTTATTCGCAGATTCCTGTTTCTACACAACTGATGTTCTGGCTAAAAGAATATTACAATGACCCAAGATTACCTTATTTTCTGCGCACAATGACAGCTCAGTAGACAAGGCAACCAATTACACCACTTAAAATCCACCAGTCTCAAACTGAACATAGCCATACAGCAGACCACAGAGCAACAGAAGGTGTGAAAAAGATCTCAGATTTCTGCTGACTTGTTCACATTTTATAAACCCCTAATGGCGGTTGTATTTAAAGCCTCCTTTCAAACCTCCCCTTCCCTCCACAGGCTTCATGACCCAGCCCCCAGGGGGCTGCCCAGGCCTCAGCCTCTCCTCACGTCCCTCTGCACCTGCCACACTTCACCTTCCAGTCACACTTGTCCCATCACCTCTGTACTCAAGATATTTCAGAACGAAAGGATCCACACAGTGGAAACTTCCCACCCGGCAATCAGTACACGTATGTGTACACACACACACACTTTGTTGTTCCAGAACATACCCTGCCCTGAACTTCACTCACTCACTCTGACCTGGGCCTCAAATTAAGGTGCCTCTCCATTCCCAGACCTGTCCCCACAGCAGCTGTGTTTTCTCTTGAAATGAAAATGCAGACAGTCCATCTCTACCTCCACTATTGCCGGTTCTGTGCTCACTGTGCCCATTCTTCACTGTCAGGCACACACGGAATGGGGCTAGGACCTGCCCAGGCCCTCTGTCCAGAGGAACTAAGTCACCCGTTACTCCCCTCGCCTCCCTCTCGACTGACATTTGGTAGAGGGCCTGCCCTCCAACGATGCACATTGGTTTCCATTTCTTGGCTCCATTACTTCGCTTTCTCCGCTGCATCTGGGGGTGGCGGTGAGGCTCCCCTGCCTGAAGTGAGCATCTGAAGTCCTGATTGCCCCTCATTCCCTCTCCTTTCAGCCCTCAGCTCCTCTCTCTCAAGATTTCACCTTTTATTCTGACCTTGAAGTGGGGGGCGGGGGATCTCCAATCCCTTGAAATCACCACCCTCTATCTTTCCATCTCATGTAGGGCAGCTGCAACCGAGCTGTCTCCTGGCCTTCCTGCTGCACACCGCACGGGCCACCCTGCTTCCCCCAACATTCTCTTCTAGGACATACACGGATCTGTTTCATTCTCCTAAAGGGGCCTTAAGCCTCCAGAGACTAGAAACTACAACTGGCTGATATTACAGTGATAAGCCACTACACACACACACACACACACACAGACATTATATATATATCCCAAACTCACTGCCATCGAGTTGATGCCGGCGCTTAGTGACCCTATAGGACAGAGTAGAACTACACCTGTGAATTTCTGAGACTAGCTCTTTACAGAGTAAAAAGCCTCATCTTTCTCCCACAGAGGGGCTTGGTGGTTTTGAACTGTTGACTTTGCAGTTAGCAGCCCAACTACTGTGCCACCGGGCCTCACAACTTATATAGAGAAGCTAAAAGTCAACAGAAACAGAATTACAAATAGGGGGGACAGCCTATAACTGATCCTTAAAATCAGAGCTTTTCAAAAACCATACAACTTTAGTATTAGAAGGGGCCCAAGAAGTCATCCCACCCATCCCATCCTAACTCATGCCTCCGTGACCACCCCACTCAGGCACTCATTTCCACACCAACTATAATCACTGTCCTGCCAGAAGAGGCCCTCCCAGCCCCTCGTGGGTCAAACTCGCTGCACTGGAAACAAGGCTGCTTGAGCAGTGACATCCTCGGTGCTAGTCTGGACACCTGGGCTTTCCTTTGAGCTTCCCGAGGGGTGGGAAGCTAGGAAAAGCAAGTCTACACTGACGACCTCTGCGTCACCTCATGCAGTGCCTCATTTACCCGAGGAAATGAAGTCACAGACGGGAAAGGGCTTGCCCTATGGTCCTCCGCGCTTTTCACCCCAAGTCACACGTCTGGACGGTCTTGCTTGCTACCCCATCTCACCTGGGGCTCTAAGAAACGAATGCCAAAAGGTTGCAGTAAGAAGAGGGCAGGCATCCGGGAGCCACAAGGAGGAGACGAATAAGAGATGGAGCGTGTCCCCCTGGGGACCCACTGTTCGATGTTGAATAAGATTCCCTGGCTTGCTTTGCCTTCCCCCTGGATGCTGAGCGACAGGCCTGCCACAGCCCCACGACACGGGCTTCCCCCAAGAGCTGACTCCGAGCAGGCTTCATCATCTTGCCCCCTTAAACGTATTGGACTGTCAGAAAAAGTGCTGAGCTCAGCGCAGAAGGCAGCCTTTACCCCATCAGAATTCTGAGCCTGGAGGTTTGGACTACAGTCAGGAAATACACACCAAAGATTGGCCCAGCACAGGCTGACAGACAGACAGAGCTGGGCTTCCCCGGGGAAGATTGATGAGATCAATTTTGAAGCCTTTATGCCTTCATCTTCTAGGTTATGATGTCCGTGAGTCATCCCCCCACCCCCTACAAGCCTCATGTTTCAAAGGACATCCTTCCACAGTTATTGGTCATCATTTTCTATCCCCCACAGAAAAGGAGCCCCTTTCGGAGGAAGGCGCAGTTGAGAATGTGAGGTGTTCTGCACGTCTCCTGCAAGCCAGGGGCACGGGGAGAAGAGAAGCTTTAAAGCCCTTATATTCAGAGCCGGCTCGTGCATGCTTGAAATGCCAGCAACCCCACTTGACATTTTAACTGCTCAAGGTATCAATATGCATTAAAGTGATGAGCCTATTAATTTTACATATTAAACCTTATCGATAAATGGTGGGTTATCAATAAACGTGGCATATTTTAACATATTGGTCTTCTAGAGAGAGGTACCAGTCAATGGTGGGGCAGGGGACAGGTATATGTTTCACTCTTTGAATCCCGAGTGCCCAGCTTCGTACCTGGCCCGTACTCATTTAGTAGGTAAGTGGAGTGGCTGGCTGGCTCGGTGGCAAACATGCGCGGGAGAAGCATTTTCTAATCACCCTCGAGGTCAGTTTCCACTTGGGTTAACCTGAGGGTGTTGTGACGATTTAGTGAAATCTGTCGCCGGCTGATTGGGGTGTGTCATCTGGAAGCTTCTAAAGCCTCCTTCGTAGTGTGTGATGACAAAATGAACCGGTCGAAGACATTCTGGTAGCCACCAAGGTCACCGTCCACACTCACCTGCCATGTCGATGGCAAACGGGCGGTCTGCTCTCCAGCCAGTGTACCAGCCCACAACTCGGCCGTCCTCCACCAGCGGTCGTTCATAGCGGCGCCCGCCAACCAGGCCCACGGGCCAGACCGACACTTTGTGCGTGGTTCGCATCTGCAAGAGGAAGGAGACAGGTGTTAGGCTTCCTGAGGGCCAGCAAAGGAGGGTGAGCCACATAGACGTGTGTGCGGTGTCATTGGTTTCCCACAGTGGCACACGAACACTGGCAGGTCACTGCCCCAGTCTGCTGCTTGGCTGCTCGGCCCCACCCCGCGGGGGTAGCGCCTGCCGTCTCGCAAGTTCAGCCCGCGGCTTCAGAGGAATCAGGGAGTGCCCGTGCCTGGCTAGCACGTTTTGAAGCTAAACTCCATCCAATCACTTTTATTTGTTTCAAAGCTGGGTTTCCCAAACAAGCTGTGTGGTTTCTGGTGCCAGCCGTTCCCCCCCACCTTAGGAAACTTTATTACTCAGGATGAAACCGTCCCTCACAGGCCAGGGGAGTCTCCTGACTTTTCCATTGTCCGAGGGACACCCAGCTCTTGTCTGGGGACAATAATCACAGGGTCCAGCTACCGCACAGGCCCCGGCATCTTCCGAGAGACAGAAAGACAAATGCACTTGGAATTCACCTGCTTGTCAAAGGCAACTGGGCCACACTGGAGAGGACGGCGCCTCACCTGGGCATTCAGAGTGGGTCTTCTTATGGCCCACCCTCGGGGAGGCAGTGGAAACCTGGTTAAACACATCCCTCTGCTGACTTTAAGGACAAAGGCAGGTTACAAGAAAGCTTATTAATATCCAGTAGCATTTTTTAGGGGCAGTTACTACCCGGTGTCCTTTCTTTCAGACCACCACAGCTAGTCAGCCCACAAGGCACCTTTGTGTGAACCAGGAAAAGGCATCCTTCTTTGGGCGGATGCATGCCACACTGGGGCCACCACCGGCTGGCTCATAAAGTGCAGGCTGGCATCGCCGGCCACAAATCAGAATCAATTCAGTGGCGACGACCAGCAGCAGTAGCCTCTCAGCTGGGGTGCCCTACATTCAGCAGGTGTTACATCATTCTTGAGAGGCATTCACACTCCAGGTCGTAATGTAACCAGGGCCAAGTGTGATGAGCCACCAGTCTGCATTTTCTCTGAGCAAAGGTGCATGGCTAGGTGCTCGCTCAAAGAGCGCACGGTCAAAGGGGATGTCAGTCGATAAAGAAGGCAAAAAGGTTCTAAGGACAGAAGAGAGAAAACTCCTCTAGAGAGAATAAAAGGCCTAAACTGAGACAAGGAGTGGAAAAATTAAATTCAACTGGCAGACACAAGACAAGCAAATAAGCAAACAAACTCAGGGCCATGGAGTCAGTTCTGGCTAATGCAACTAATACTGGCCATTGGTGATTCCCTGGTAGAATTCTCAAACGTGAGTGTTGGCTGGTATGTTGCTAGAATTTAGAATACAACAATAGGGTTTAGCAGACCTTCCAGATTAAGGTGACCAGGAAGAAAGGTCTGGCACTCTACTTTTGGCAACAGCAGTAAAAGCCACAGGGACCATGATGGTCTGATCTACAACTGGTCCGGGGGATGGATGGACCAGGAATGGCCCATGTTGTCCCACTGGGCCCAGAGCAGTAGAGTGCTGGGGCCGACTGAAAGGCAACTAACAACAAAGCATGTTTGAGGTTGATTTTCCGCTGAAGCTGTAAACTGGCCATGTGGACTTTTACCCACAGGATGAAGTCGGTAGTGGGATCAGCATGGAAACCCTGCACGTTTCTGAGCATTTTCCATGCTAGCGAAGGCGGGTTTCTCTTGTCGTCTCTATTGTAGTAGCTGCCATCAAGCCACCCCCTGCCTCTTGGCCACCCCATGCACTGCAGGCTCAGACGGCTGTGATCACGGGCTTTCATGGACTGATTTTTCAGAAGAAGACCTCCAAGCCTTTCTTCCTAGTTCCTCTCAGTCTAGATCAGCAGTTCTCAACCTGTGGGTCGAGACCCCTTTGGGGGTCGCCCGATTCATCACAGTAGCAAAATGACAGTTAAGAAGTACCAACGAAAATGATGTTATGGCCATTAGCAGGCCACTGGAGATCCCCTTGCAGAGGGGTCTCGGGGAGGAGATGAGCCAGTCAGGGTGCGATGTAGCAATGATGAGAAATACAGTCTTCCTCTAGTTCCTAAAGGTTTCCTCCCCGCTCCCACTACCATGACTCGAATTCTATCTTGCAAGACTGGCTAGACCAGAGGAGGTACACTGGTACGGATGGGAACTGAAAATACAGGGAATCCAGGACGGATGAGCCCTGTAGGACCAGTAGTGTGAGTGGCAAAACAGGGAGGGTGGGGGGAGAATGGGTAGGAAAGAGGGAACCGATTACATGGAACTGTGTGTGACCTCCTCCCTGGGAGACAGACAACCGAAAAGTGGGTGAGGGGAGATGTCGGACAGGGCAAGATATGACAAAATACCAATTTATAAACTATCAAGGGCTCATGCGGGAGGGGGGAGCGGGGAGGGAGGGGAAAAATGAGGACCTAATGTCGGGGGTTTAAATGGAGAGAAAATGTTTTGAGAAACGATGTACAAATGCGCTTTACACAATTGATGTGTGTATGGATTGGGATAACAGTTGTATGAGCCCCTAATAAAATGTTAAAAAATAATAATAATAATAATAAAAAAATAAAATAAAATAAAAAAAGAAAATGATGTTATGGTTGGGGGGTCACCACCACGAGGAACTGTATGAAAGGGTCGTGGCATTAGGAAGGTTGAGAACCACTGCTCTAGAAGCTCCATGCAAGCCTCCACTGACCAGACAGGTGGTGACTGAGCACGGGTGCTTGGCTGCCTGGAAAGAAGGAATCCGACCACAGAGCCACCAACAATTGCACTTGGCACACTCCAGGTTTCTGAGACCAGCGCAGAGCAAGTATTTATTCGCATTAGATTTCTTCCCCAGGGGAGCTGGGTGTTCAGAGGTGAGGTGCTGAGTCTTTGAATCAGGGGATATGGGAAGGATTATATTTCCAAGTATACTATACAAAAAGCCTCTCAATTAAATACTGTAACGATTCTCAAAGAGCCAGCTGCTCTTGCCACACGTGAGCCGAGGTCCCACTTGGACCGATTCATCACAGAATTAGACCCAACGCCCCTCAGAACACGCTGCTGTACTATACAGGGTATGTCAGACATTTCAAAGGAAAATAGCACAGCTATTTACGGAACTTCCTCCTCTCGCTCCTGGGAGCTAGGCTTTGTTCTGTGTCCTTTCCACTCAATCTTTAAGGGCTTCTTGGCAGCTACCTGCTTTTCTGAGAAGGGGAGAAAACCTAAGGACGACTGTAGCTATTAAAAGTAAGAGCACTTGCACACAGCTAAGCATATGCTCAGGACAGGTCGTCCCCAACTTAGGCCTAGCTGAGTAGCACGAACTGCACTCACAATGATCTGGTTTTTGAGTACTTTTTGGTACATCTTACCATGAGCAATGTGTAATGCAGAGTGTGGCAGCACGTGCTTGGCTGATGTTATCCTTCTCACAGCAACCACCAGAGACAAATAAGGATTAGATCTGTAAAGATCTGGACCATAAGAGGCAATAATAAATGGAAAAGTTAAAAAAAAAAGTATTTGACTTATATGGGAACCAACCTGCTTCAGAGTTGTCAGAGTGGAGTCCCGTGGTAAGTCAGGACTGGGTGTATTTAAGAACACTAGCCCCAAGTTGTCTGTACAGTGCTGGCTCAGCCTCCGGAGCCTGGTGAGAGAGTTCTAGTGCAAAACAGCGGGGCAAAGCTCCAGATATTAACATAACGATTACAATATTGCAAACAGGTCTGCTGCCACTCTTCCTATTTAGTCAATGCCAAATTCAGATTCTTTTATTCCTCCTGCTCCATCACTGACACCTCCACATAAACGAATAGGGCTGAGGTCCCATCCAAATGCACCACCAGAGTAATGGCCCCAGACCCAGTGGCCCCCAGAGTCCTGGTGACGTACTACTGGCTGTGCACTGGCCTGCTAACCACAAGGTCAGCAGTTAGAAACCACCAACTGCTCCTCGGGAGAAAGAAGAGGCTTTCTACTCCTGTCAACAGTGACAGTCCCAGACCCCACAGGGACAGTTCTACCCTGTGCTACAGGGTCTCAATATGTCAGCATTGATGGCAGTGAGCTTGGTTTGGAGTGGCTACAGAAACCATACCGGATGCATTTGGTAAATGCCCACAGCCCTGTGCCCTTTCAGTTCCCCTAGTGTAGATGGTGCCGGGCATCTTATCTTCAGGGTTCTTCAACCTGCAAGGGAAGGCGAGCAGCTACTGCGCTGCCTGGGCTTGCTGACCCTCAGCAGCACCCGCTCCATTTCCTTCACCAGCTCCGTGTGTAGCTTTCAGCTGTGTCCTTTGGGCCCTCCTAGGGAGAGGGCTAGCAGCCAGCGACAGGGACAAGCACGCTTCAGCACCTCGCCTCTGGGTGGACTGTCATCATGCCCTTAGAGCGAAACAGAAGGTACACAAGTGCCTTTCGCTTCCTTGAGGACATGCCGCTAGTTGAAATCTTGTTTTGTTTTTTCCCCAAAGAGAAATGAATCACGTTCTTAATCTTCTGAAACTTGGTGCTACTGGCAACTTCCCGAAATGGAGCCACAATGAAGCACGTGCTACTCCATAGCCTTCACAGCATGTTACGTATGAGCAGTTTTATCACACGATTGGAAAAAATAACATCAGCGATAAACAACAACATACCTAAGATCCAGTAAGACCTAGCACACTCACAGCAGAAAAGATTCTGAAATTGATTGTGGTGACAATTGCACAAATCATCATAATGTGATTAAATGATGACATCATATGATATCTGTAGTATATGCAAATAAAATATTTGAAAATAATTATTGGACAATAAAGAAACGTGTAATGCAAATGATGAAAGGACACAGAGGGAGCAGAGTGGTCTGGAGTTGAGGGTCCTTCCTTCCAAATTCACTGTTGATAAACACGATCTGATATTTCCTAGCACGGAAGCTCTGTTCATGGACCCTAACCCCTCTGTGCCTTCTCTTTGGGAGAAACTTGAAAATTAATCTTCCCTTTCTCCTGCACCTGC